ATTATAGCGATTAAATAAAAGAACCTGTGTGTAGGCACCTGGGCCCCCATGGGCCTGGCACATAACAGGCGTCAGGAAATAGGAATCTTTGGTTGTATCCCATTTTTCTCGTTGTTCTCCTGAGCCTGGGTTTTAAAGGTCGGGTAYTGAGTTGGAATTTATTATTTATTTATAATTTATAAATAAATTGCCAGGCTCTGTGTGGGTACAGGCTGCAGAAAYGAGCCTACAGATATTTACAGATGGAAAGACGCCATCAACAAACAAATAAGCAATTGAGATAAGCAGAGGGCGGTAGGTGGGGGTACGGGACTGTAGGATTGCAGTAGTGCGGAGGCTACAGTCTGGTGGAAGGTGCAGGAGCTATCGATCAAGCTGAAATCTTTGCCGCTTAAAACTCACAATGAACTTTGCAAATCACCTAAAGATCCCATTTAACGGACAAGGAATTTGAGGCTCAGAGAGGCTAAGGAACTTGCTCAAGGTCACATAGCAAGTGAATGAGAATACAGAGGCTCAAGTCTGGGTCGGCGGATATCAAAAACTTATTATTATTTTTCATAATAACAAACCACCTCTCTCCTGGGCCCAGAGCAGTCTCTGTGGGGCACGGGGAAGTAGAGTAGAAGGGAGGCAGGAAGGGGTGGTCCTGGGTGTGAAGTCGGTGTTGCCTGCAGCTCTGTGGTTGCCACATATCCAAGAGGTCTCCAAAAAGCCAAGGACACTGTGGAAACCTCCCTCCCCTGGTCTTCCCTCCCTCCTCCTCTAATTGAGAAGTCACCCTTCTGCCCGGATCCCTCCCATCCTGGACACTTGGTGTTGCTGGGCTCACCCCAGCCACAGCTGACACCCCCGCCCCACCCCGCACCTCCTGAGCTTCCTCTCAAGAAGCCATAAACCACCATGGGTCAGCAAGCACCCTCTTTTACCGCCGCCCATTTCTCCTCTCCGTCCCCTCCCTCCCTCCTCCTCTCCCTCCCTCCACCCCTTTTTCCTTTCCTCAACCTCCCGAGTGCTCTAAGATGAAGGAGCCAATTAATCTTGCTGCAAAGCTGCAGGCTGGTCCGAAGGCTTTAGCATCCCTACCAGGATGGCCTAAGAAGTCCCTGGAAACCAGGGCTAATTGGGGAAAGATGGCATTCATTCTTCCATGGCCTGAGCACRGCCAAGATTCCCACCCTGGTGCATCCCCATGAGGGAGACTGCTGGGGTTGCCTGTCGCCCACAGGATGACCTTCAGGACTTTTTAGCATTCCTGAACCCAGCCTCACACTCCCTTTCAGCACCACAAACAGCAGAGTGTTTGAGAGCTTTTGGTCAATGTGCTGCAGGTTTATATGTTCACTTTTGCCTAGTACATCTGTTCATTYGTTCAATACCTACTGTGTTTACTGAGTACCTACTAAGTTCCAGACACAGTTATAGGCACTGGGGATACATCTGTGGCAAGAACAGTCCGAATACTGCTGTCATACAGTTGGCATCCTAGTAAGAGAGACAAATGGTAAGCAGATAAATATACACTGTGTCAGATGGTGATAAGTGGTGTTGGGGACAAATATCGCAGAGTAGACGGGACACAGGGTGAAGAGCAGAGCAGTTTTAGATAAAGAGAGATCARCAGGTCTTTTATTCTAGGAGAATGTTACATGCCTGCTTCCTTTATGCAGATGTCACGTTCAGAAAGGCTAAATATCCATGAGATCTTTGCATATCGAATTGCATCTTAAATCGAACATAGGCAAGGCTTTCAAATTGACATGTAACAAATCTCCAAACCTCAGTTTTCTCATAAGAAAAAATGGGTTTAATATTTTTGAACCCCAGCCAGCTACAGACCTGTTGAGAGACTAATGGAATGGAATTTTTAATTTTGTGAAGATACTTTGTAACCTGCAAAGTAATGTAATTATCGTTCAAATGAAGACATAGTTGGCAAAGTGAATTACCACCTCCAAATAGAAATTCTGTGATAATCCAATTTCCATGTCTTTGGTGGGCTAAGATGATGAACTGCCCTTACGTGTTTTCCAAATCCAGGCAGGCAGGGATGGCGCCTTATTAAGCCTTCAGAGACTTGGGGGAGCACTTTGTGGTTGCCCCTGGCGATGATTTGCYGTTAGCCACAAAGAGCATCCTGTCTGAGGACGTCTAGTACCCTCTTAATTTCAGAGCACCCGTTAACCTGAGACCAAGTCTATCATTCACCTCTATCTGAAATAAGAGCATGAGGATGAACCCAAGCCCTGCAGCCCTCTCCCAAACATCTAGGGAACCATGGGGCCTGACAGACACGGGGTTGGCCCCTCACCTGTGGGAGAAGCTGGCTGGCTCACGGAGTTTCTTTCTTTGAATACAACATTTTGTGGCAAAACGGAGTTGCCACTTGGAAGGGAATTCGTTTTATTCAGACAACACCATGAAATAGAAAAATGCATGGCACATATCTCCAGGAAAAACGYTCAGCAGCAATCAGGTGCTGATCTGTGTCCCTGCCCTCTTGGGACCATCTGCAGGTTCAGTCACAGCTGAACTATGAGAACATACGACGAGGGCAGTGAGATCGYGCTTCATAAATTATCTTGTGACACTGTAAATGGAGAATGAGGCTGTAGTTAGGGGGGGRGTGGCAGGATGCAAGATCAATAGCAAATAAGGCCTCATGGGACATTTCAAAGACCTCAGGGTACAGCTTTTCCCAGCAGAGAGACCAGTACTGATTCATCCGTCGGTACGCTTTTACTCAGGTCAACCCTGGGCAAACCCGAGGAGACTCCAAAATATTTCCAATAGAGGCCAGAGGTTTCATCTGAGTTGGAAAGAGAAGTCAGCCCTGTGGATAAAGAGCCCAACGAAAACGCTGTCCAATCTTCCACAGAGCCCAGGGCACATAAACGACATTATTCCATTTCATCACCATYGCCACCATGCAACACCATTAAGCCCATTTTTATGGGTGAGAATACAGACAGCAGAGGGGTTAAATGACTCGCTCAGGTTCACATGGCCATAAAATGCTCCTTCTTCAGCTGCTTAATTCTGTTGGAGCCAGAATCAAAATGAAGTTTCAGATGGCCTCCCTATTGATTTGGTCCGAGATAAGCACTCATTTTAGAAAAACATTTGGCTCCTTCCTTTAAMGGGGGCTGAGGGACCACAGGCTCTAGAGCTGCAGCTTGAATGTCCTTTTCTGATGATAACGATATTTCTAAATAAATAAGTATCCTCGTCTGTTTGTATTCGCACGGCTGGATCTTCTCCCTCCTGAATGTTCCCTTCCCCCACTGACATCTTCCCACGTTCGCTGAGCTCCTCTCTTTCTCTCTGTCTTCCCCTCACACACACAAATTCAGACACACACCTTCCCACCACACACCCATATGCAAAATAAAATTAGAAATACCACCCGACTCTCAAGGTATTTAGGGAATGGAGATCTTCAATCAGTATGGCCCAAACCAAGCGCTCCAGGTGCCTCTGCCTCCCAAGCCAGTGCGAGACGCAGGCAGCACTTGTGAAAGGGGCCAGACAGCCATGCCTGTCACACAAAGCTGCTCTGAAGGGAAAAAGGCCACTTGTGCCTCCTTGTGTCTGTCCTGTGGCCACTGGAACTCACAGAGCTTCTGGATTCTCAGAGGCCATTCTCGGAGGCCACCACCTGGCATGCTGTTCTTCCACTGGCTGCAAGAGCCTTTCAGAACATGAAAAGGTTTCCTGGCCCCCTTTTTATTTTTATGTGTGCTGATACAATCCAGAGAAAACAGTGTCTGATGATTCAAAAATAGAGAATGAGCCGATCGGCATATGGCCCTCACTTCAAGGGATTGCTCTTATTTTAATCAACGAGTTGAGAAAGCAATCAACATGTATCAGGTTGGCCTGCGTGCAGAGGAGTGGAGCTGGGCACCCAAGTGAGCCATCATGGTCCAAGCACAGGCACCAACGTCCCTGCGTCATCCAGTGTTCTAAGGTGTTCTCTATGACCGTGCCCCCACTTGGCACACATGTGTCACTACCCTCTTGATGCCACACAGTACCCATCTGAGAAACACTGGAGTCCCAGAAGGGGAAGGTGGTAAAGAACAGGGAGTTGGGGCTGGGGCTCCAAGCAGCAGCTCCAGGTTCGAGCTCTGTGTGGGATAAAYCCCCTTGTTGTCCTCCTGTTCCCCAAATCAAAGCTGCTGCTGGGTCCCAAGGTGATGCTGGATTGTGTTGAGGCTGAGAGCAGCAGCACTGGTGCTAAAACTGGGTTCAAATCCAGAATCTGTTCRCTCACCTACTGTGTGACCTTGAGCAGTGACTTAGCTCCTGAATCCCAACCTTCTCATCCCAGAATGGGCCTCATGCAGCTGCTCAGATCATACTGAGAGGACGGATGAAGGGCTCTTATGCTAAAAGCTTATGTGCCTGGTACACAGGAAATCCAGAGAAGTACTATCCATGACTGTGGTCCAAGACACAGTGCTTCCCCTAGACAGGCTCTGTTTAGGGGCTTTCACATCTATTGCYGTTTAATCCTCACATCTCCATTCTCCAGATGAGGATCCTGGAATCTAGGATCACACAGCGGTGAATGGTGGACATTCAAACCCAAGCCGACAGGCCAGGGGATCCCCTTGCAATCTCTTGGTACACAGCCCTCCTGAGGAGATGACGCTGACTTCTTGGGTGTTGCCCTGGTAAGCTGCCTATCAACACCCCAAGTTCCCTTCAGCCCAAGCTGAGAGAAGGATTACTGGTCATAGCCGGGAAGAAGGAAGGAGAGAAGGACTGGGTGATGGCTGGAGCATCCACATCAGGGATGAATTCCTATCTCCCAGTTGCAACCACGGCTGAAGTCAGGCAGGGCGCCCCAACCCGCTCCAGGGGAACCAAGAAGAGGGGAGGAAGGGGGGGCAAGTCCACGATGCTGAGACGGTGGCCAGAGCACCGCCCCCAGGAGAGGAGGGAGGGGGCGGGGCGGGGGGGCCAGCTGCCATCCCCGCCGCCTCCTGGCCCCCACTCGCTGGCGCCCAAGTGGGAGGACGGCAGCTGCCCGTTCCCTCCTCCCCACAGCCCCGCTACCTGCCCAGTCCCCGAAGCGAAGCGTGAGAAGGCTGAGGGCCAGCCGGGCCGAGCCCACAACTTTGCAGCCTCTGGGCGGGCACGAGCCGGCGTCTGGGCTCCTCTTGTCGGCGACCAGAGCTCGGTGAGTTCATTTCCCCACCCCTCTGCGGCGGTGCGGCGGAGGCGGTGGCGACGGTGGCGCGGGGGGCGGCTTCCCCGGCGTCCRGAAGGCAGTGGCCGACAAGCCGGCAGCCTCCCGCGCTGCCTGMCTCGGCAGGGCTCCGCTGTGCCGCCCTCCGTGGCGGGCGAGGCGGGCGCCAGGGCTGAGCGGACAGCTCCCTGCACCCCAGGCCGCTGGGGCGCCCTGGGCCGCCCCTTCTCCCGCGCTGCGGCCGCCTGCGGAGCGCCCCTCACTCCCCAGCCCCTGTCCTTGCGTTCTCAGCGCCGCGGCACATCTGGAGGCTGCTCCCGCGCCCCCCTGGCGACTGGCGCGGGGAAGACACTTGCTTCGCTGGAGCCCCGGACCCAGGGCTCTCCGGGGTGGGCAGCGCCGCCGCAGCCTCTGGAGGCGCACGGCTGGGGGCGGTACCGCGCCCCAGCGACCAGGCTCAAGCGCGCCCGGCGCTGCACCCAGCTGCGGAGAGGCCTGCGCTTGCCCACCACTACCGCGGCTCCCGGGGGAGGGGGGACGCCATCACCTGCAAAGAGGATTCCAAGGTGACCCGTCCCCTCCATCCAGATGGGACTGCCTGGACCGAGGCCCCGTGGCATCCATCCATCCTGGGTGCAGCCGCCTTCCCAGAACTTTTYTCGAGCCTCCTCCTGTCCAATTCCTTAGCCCCCGGAAAAGTTCTCTCCAGCGCGCAGAATGCTATTTCCCGGTGCCTTCCGAAGTTGAGCAGGAACCCGGGCTCTGGGGGTCCGGGGGCTGGGGTGGGGCAGGGATGTGGTGGGAGCTGCGCTCGTCAGGGTGGAGGGGTGTCCATCCCAGGAAAGGGACACGAGAATCTACTTGTCCGCTCAGGGAGGGCTTGGCATCGAAAGGGTTTCGGCGCCGTGGGGATTGTTTGGGTGTCTCCCGCCAGAAGGGCGAGAGGCGGGCGCGAAGGGGGGATTTTAATTTCGTCGCCTCAAAGAAAAACGCTTTTTGCAAACAAATAGCCAGAGTGCGAGAGATGGGCTGGGCAGGAAGGACTCACAAGCAGAAGTATTCCCGCTGCGCCCCCAACCCACCCAGCGCCTGCCTGTGCGCGTGTGAATGTATCGATTGTTTGAATCGATTTTTAAATAAAAAGCCAGGAAGCAGTGATTGCGTGTGTGTACACACAGACACACAAACACAGACACCCAGGCGCACACAGATCACACGTACCGTCACTCACACCCCTGCCACGGGCCCACACATACACAAACATACCTCCAAAGAGCCTTGGGTAACCAATGAGATCCCTGGGTATTGCCCAAGGTGCGGATGGGGCGGGGGGGGGGGGGGGGGGCGGAAGAAGGGGAAGTGAAGGAGGACTTCCTGTAGGTCAAATGGTTCCCTCTGTCCCCCGGCCTCAAATCCTCTCTGTCTTCTCCTGGGGAGGCCTGAACCAAAAATCCCAAACCTGGGCTGTTTCCACTGCCCTGCGGCGCGCAGCCCTAGCCCTTTCCTCCCCACAGTCCCTACAGACTACGAAAAAGCCCTTCCCTTCTGTGCCTGACCCCGTGGCGACAGAGCCCTAAGGTCGCTCAAAATTCGAGGGAGCAACCTCCCCGAGGTAGGGCCTGGCCCCAGGAGCCCGCTGTGGTCTCGTGATCTCTGGCTTGCTTGGTCCCGGGTTAGAGAAATGGGGAAGGATGACCCCCCCCCCCCGGGACTGGGGTTGGGGGAGTAGATTTGCATGCAGCCCTTCCGACGGGAGACGCTAGGAGCGCGCAAGGGCGCCCCCTGGCCACCGCAGTAAGTCAGTCTTTCTCTCATCCCGCGCTCCGTAGGAATGTAATCGAGGATGCTGGCCCTGAGGCTGCTCAACGTCGTGGCCCCTGCCTATTTTCTGTGCATCTCCTTGGTGACCTTCGTGCTGCAACTCTTCTTCTTCCTGCCCAGCATGCGCGAGGACCCCGCGGCTGCCCCTCTCTTCTCGCCTGCCCTGCTCCACGGGGCGCTTTTCCTATTTCTCTCCGCCAACGCCCTGGGCAATTATGTCCTGGTCATCCAGAACTCCCCGGACGACCTGGACGCCTGTCAGGGTTCCTCATCCAAGAGGGCTCTGTGCCCCCCGCCCAGCACCCACTTCTGCCGGGTGTGCGCCCGAGTCACGCTGCGGCACGACCACCACTGTTTCTTCACCGGCAACTGCATCGGCAGCAGGAACATGCGCAACTTCGTCCTGTTCTGCCTCTACACCTCCCTTGCCTGCCTCTATTCCATGGTGGCCGGAGTGGCTTACATCTCTGCTGTCCTGTCCATCTCTTTCGCCCATCCCCTGGCCTTCCTCACGCTCCTGCCCACTTCCATCAGCCAGTTCTTCTCCGGTGAGTGGGCCTTGGCAGGCAAGTTCAGCAAATAAGACTCCTCACCCCAACTCCAGGGGGTGCCAGACTTAGCAAATCAAAGAACACAGGATTTCCAGCTAAATTAACTTTTCAGATAAATGACTTTTTAGTATCATTATGCCCCAATTTTGCACGAGACAGAACTAAGAAAATGTCCTGGGGTCTATCTGAAATTCAAATTAACTGGGCATGCTGTTATCTGACAGGCTCCCGCCTTCCTCACTATCACACCATCCACTTGCTCAGGAATGTCACATCCAGGCAGTACACCTGCTCTGTGCCAGACACACTCATCACCTTTCTCTGTCTGACCCCAGTCCTGCTCGGGGACTTTGCCCTCCAGAGGTGCTACCAACCAACCACAATAAGGTTGAACTTGACACCAGCTAAGCCCTATCCTCCTGCCTACTCTGTGGGCCCCACCAGACTGTGCTGCAGCCTGTGGGTGGCTCAGAGGAGGGCCACCCTGGTTGGAGATGCAGCCATGTTTAATGGTTCCATAGCCACACTACAGAGCTTGGGACTGGTGTAGAATCTGAGGAACCAGGTATGTGGGTCCTCTCCCTCGTGCCCCACTGGGCATCCTGGCAAAGACTGTAGTTTGGATGGCATGCCTCAAGTAATGCTCCCTGGAGCCAGGCCCTGGGGCACTCAGCTCCTGGTGGCAGTTCTTATTACTTTATGCAGACTTGAAATTTGCCCCTACTGTATTTCCATCCACTCCCTGCCCACCCTGGTGTGTGACTCTGCCCAATTTGGTTCCCATAATTGGTAGCGTGCACACGCATGTGTTCGTGCATGTGAATATGGTGTTAACTCCATTTCCCAGATGAAAAAACTAAGACTTAGGTGGGACTAAGTGGCCTGCCCAGTGTCTTACCACTACAACTAATTAGACATCTCTGGCCCAGGGCTCCCTCAGCAGCACAGGAAATAGAACATGTTCCCAAACACTGACCTTCCAGGAACAGGGAGTGACAAGGCACTACTTCTACTAAGATCTTAAGATTATCTTGAAGTACCTGGATTGGCCTAAGTTGGACATTCTTTAAAATTCTGTTCACTCTGGGGCTTGGGGATATAGCTCAGTTGGTAGAGTGTTTGCCTTGCATGCACAAGGCCCTGGCTTCAGTCCCCAGCAGCAGCAACAACAAATCTGATGGCCGTATCATTAGCTAGGTTTGGTGGTGCATGCCTGTAATCCTAGCAGCTCAGGAGGCTGAGACAGGAGGATCGTGAGTTCAAAGCCAGCCTCAGCAACACTGAGGCAAGGTGCTAGGCAACTCAGTGAGACCCTGTCTCTAGATAAAATACTAAATAGGGCTGGGGATGTAGATCAGTGGTCAAGTGCCTCTGAGTTCAATCTCTGGTACCAAAAAAAAAAAAAAAAAAGAAAAAGAAAGAAAGAAAAGAAAAGAAAAGAAAGAAAGAAAATTCTGATCCATTCTGGGGGAAATGATCATTTCAGTGACTTCTGTGGCCGCAGCTCAGATCTTCCCAGGCATGGCACTACTGAGACATTGGCAGTGAAAACAGAGAGGACCCAGCCAGGGGAATGCCTGGAGTACTGGTGACTGAGCTGGGCCCAAAACTCAGAGTCTTGGGCCTTCTGGATTTCTGTGCTGCCAAAGGAGGCTGCCAGGACAGAAATAACCAGGATGGGGGAGGGTAGGTGGGCGGGTTGGGGGGTGGAGTGTGAGCACAGACAGGTGGGGAGATGAGGAAAGCCAAAGAACCTGATTACACATCCTTTTCCAAGTAGTTTCACCAACCATAAAAATGGGTGATTCCAGAAGGAGGATCTTGAAATGGTTTGATTTGAGATAAATCTGGGCTTGAGGCCTGTCCATATGTGCTAGGTTTAGGAGATAGGAGAGAAAGCAAGAAGGGCTTCTTGCTTTAATCTGTTGGGAGGACAGAGCCAGTTAGTGTCCACCTTGGGTCCCAGGTCCCTGATCCGGCTGCTGAGTCCCACTATCCTTCACCTCCTCACCATTCACTCACTAGGAAAGGAGACTAAGATTCTCGTGTCCATCTCTCCATCTCGTCTTCCTCCTTTGCTGACCTTATATCTCTCCTCCCCCGCCTCCACATACACTTCCCTGTTCCATCTCCTTCTTCTCATCCTTTCTACCCCAGTTCCCAGAGCCAGCCCTCTCTCATCTGCTCAGGAGAGGAGGGCAGGAGTGTCAGAAGGCACACCTTGGTTAACAGGAGTTGAGCTGTCCCCAGCCCTGAGTTGGATTTGCCATCAAAGCACAGGATTCTGTGACTGGGGGCCCTGAGAACTAAAGGTGGAAGGGGTCTTCTGAACTGAAGTTGGCTGCTAATCTTCAGCTAATGTCTAAGAGAGAGAGGACTAGCTAGATAAGTTTAAGTTTCTTTTGACTTTGTGGTACCAGTACAAGTTGCATCACCCCTCTGAACCTCATTCTCATCTGGAAAATGAGGAGGACACTATCCAGCATGCATTGTGGCATTTGGATGAGTATGTCAGTGGATAGGGGCCACCAGAAAGTCCAGAAGGAGGAAAGAGAACTTATGTTTGTTGAGCACCTATTATGTGTCATCCACCAGGCACACATCTCATTTCATCCCATCATGACAGTCTGTGAGGGAGGTATTATCAAGTCATTTTTAAAGCTTAGGAAGGAAACACTCAGCCAGGTGAAGTTGCTTCAAAACCACACAGCTTTGGACTCCAAGCCGTTGCCTCCAAAGCTTGTACCTTTTCCACTAGAGCACACTGCCTCTCTGGGGCTGCTTCTCTTTTGTTGTTTGGTGATGAAGAAGCCCCTTTGGGAGGGAGGCGTCATCTTATCCCCAGTGCATTCAAGAAGACATTGGGTGATGGTTTGTGAAGATGGCTGGTGGGAGTCAGGGACAGGAGAGATCAGAAAATGGGACCTTTTAGGCCCTTTAGGAAAACTCTATGATTTTCTAAAAGAAATGGAACTATTATTAAATAGTTGAGAGGAGCTGAAGCAGTCACGCTAGAGACCTTCAAACACTTTGAAAGGAAGCAGGTCCCCAGAATAGCCTTTTGTAGCTGCTGCATGGGGCCAGGAGAAGGCGGCAAGGTTTCTCCCTCATGCCTTSCTTTAGTGCCAGAAAAAAAGCCTGTGAAAAACAGCTTCCACCCGCCCAAACTCGTTCCTGGGGCTGAGATGCAAGGCAGGCCAGAGCTTGATAGCTCTGATGTTCTTACATCCCAGTTGAGGGCCATCTTTGCCCATCAGCATCCCTCAAGCCCAAAGGGTGTCAGGGCCCCAGGGTGCTCCCTCCTGCACGTGGCTGTCCAAGCTCATCTGTGCTGACAAGGGAGAAGTGGGTCAGGGGATGGCATGGCTCCATGTGAGCTCTGCCCCACTGATGCCACCATGTCAGTGGAGGGGCTGCTCTAAATGCCAGCTGGAGCAAGCTTTCTATCCCCTGGGCAGCTGGACCAATTTGTCTCCAACTTTGTAAAGAAAAAAAAAAAGGCAATCAAAGTTCGAAGGGATGAGGGGAGAAAAGGCTGCTAATGAACAAACCCAAATCAGACCCACATTCTTCCTGGCTGCCAAGTTCAACACTGTTCAGACCTGATAAGGACCAAAAGCTCAATTCTCTGGAGTCTGGAAATCAGAGCCTGGAGAGGCCTTGGAAGATGTGAACCTGTACAAGGGAGCTGGTAGAAGGGCAGGGGAGAGACAAGGGAGAGGTACAGGGGTAGAACAGGTGTTCCCTGGAGCTGCTACCCAAAATCTCCCTGGAGAAGGTGGCAAAGAGGTTGTCTTCCAGGGAGCAAAGGGCTAAGGAGGGCTTTTGAGTTCTGTACTGGACCCACCATCCTGACTGCCAGGGAGGTCAAGGTAGGTGTCTTTACTATAACTGCTAAAGTTGCAGCCTAGGAAGGATCCCAAGTCCTGGAAAGGTGGAGAAGGCTTGGTGGCCTTAGGAATTAAACTCGAACCCTTTTTGGATATAAGTCACCTCCTCTGTGAAATGACCTTACATTCTGGGCTGCATGTAAACCAGAAGGCTGACCCCTTCATACATCATTTCCTTGAATCCTGCATCCCTGGGAATCATTACTATCATGCCCATTTTGCAGAGGAACAAACCGCAACACAGGTTCAAAAACTTGTGAGAGTCCACAAGATGGGAGATCCAAGCCCAGTGTGGACCACCCACCCAGAACCCTCGGGAAGACTGGGATCTCTTACTAAGTGGATGTTTACAAGCAGTAATAGAAAGTGCTTGGTTTAGAGGGCCTGAGGGGAGGTGTTGCCCCACTGTAGGGGGTCAAACTGATGACCTTGGGGACCTCTTCCAGCTTTAGCAAGCTCTGACGGATTGGACAGCTTTAGCAGAGTGTTCAGATGACCACACTGTCCTCTTGCTGATATTAATGACTGCATTATTCTCCCAAGTCCGCGCTCTGCTCCCTGCCTTTGGGGCTGAGCTCATGACTTGTCCCCTTTGATGACTAGGTCCTGTTTTCCATCATGCTGTCACTTTCAGGACAGTGTTCCCAGCCCTGAAGGGAGAGAGCAGTCTAGACAGCTTCGGGCATCCGTTCTAAGGGGCCCTCAGCTTACCCTTCAAAGGAAAAAGAGGGGTGGGACAGTAAGAGCATCTGGACTGCCCAGGGAAGCTGGGGGTTCTCATTCTGAGCTTATCAAGCTGTTCTCCCCCCAGATCCCCAGGTCTCTCCCCTCCCCCCAGGAGCCATCAACATAAGGAAAAGTTGGGGCAACTAGTTCATCCTTCCTGTASTCCGCTGCAGCGCGGCGAGAGCTACAAAATGTAGTTGCAATCTCATTAATCTCCCTTTCTCCCTCTCCGCGGAAAGCGCCTGCCCGATCGCTTTTCCCGTACGTGGCCTGGGTGTAAAGCGGCTCTGTCGTCTCCCCTCCTCCGCAGGAGCTGTCCTCGGTTCTGAAATGTTCGTCATCCTCATGCTCTACCTCTGGTTTGCCATCGGCCTCGCCTGCGCCGGCTTCTGCTGCCACCAGCTGCTGTTGATCCTCCGGGGGCAGACCCGCCACCAGGCTCGGAAGGGGGTGGCAGTGAGGGCCCGACCTTGGCGCAAGAACTTGCAGGAAGTCTTCGGAAAGAGGTGGCTGCTGGGCCTCCTGGTCCCCATGTTCAATGTCGGAAGCGAGAGCTCTAAGCAGCAGGACAAGTAGCAGACAGACACTCCATCATTTCTCTCCCTCTGAACATAAGACCATGACATCTGTCTCTACCCACGATCCACCGCAACCTCCAACTGGTAAGGTCCTTGCACCCGCCCCTGATCTTCAACCCCTAGAGAACAGCGCTAGCTGGTGGGCCATGGCAGGAAGAACGGCCACCGGGCACTGCTGGGCTTCTCACCAGATGTCTCTGCTTCTGTTCACCCTCCTCGGGGCCCTCCTTCCCCTCTGTACCTGGTGCACCCACACTCTACCACCTCTCCTGCCTTCACTCTGTCTGTGGGAGACTCCCCCTCATCTTGGGGGTGGAGAGTGACTCTTGCTGCTGGTGTGGGGCTCCCCAAGACCTGGAAGCTGGCAAATATCTAAAATTACCATGGGCGAGAGGCAGCCAAATCCCCTCTGCCAACTGCCAGGGAAGTTGGGAGGGGTGGGCATGTGTCACCCCCTCTGTGGGGTTGTGGGTGGGGACAAAGAGCACAGTGGCTTGGTGCCCACTCCCAAGGYTCAAAGCTCTTTCTCTGGAGACAGCAACCAAATGGCTTCCCTGCCCGGCACTCCTCCAGCCCCTGGGGTTTGGCCAGATGTTGGGAGAGAAAGAAGAGGGAAAGAGGAGTCACCCAATGAATGAAGAAGGCATGTGACTGTGCAGCCCTGTATGCCTGAATAGAAGGGTGGTGTGTGTGTGTGTGTGTGTGTGTGTGTGTGTGTGTGTGAGAGAGAGAGAGAGAGAGAGAGAGAGAGAGAGAGAGAGAGAGAGAGATGTGCTCTTATGAACCTAGAGGAAGAATGCATAGGGGAGGGAGGGGCCAATGCATTCATTTATGTCCAGGATAAAGGACATTCTAGCAGCTAAAGCTTCAGTGTTGGAATGGCCAGTGTTGGAATGGATACCTGGGCAAGCAGTAGCTCCGCCATTGGAGGTCGGGGTTAGGGTTAGCGGGGTCCAGGAAGGCCTCTGTCAGACATGCTGTGCAAGGAATTTTTTTTTTCACAAGAAATCCCTTCCCACTCGGAGAGTCTCTTTGTGACTGCTGGGCCCAGAGGCCACAGCTGCAGAGGTGTCTGTGAGATATTTGCTTTCATGGAGGGGGAGGTGGGCAGAGGAGAGGGCTGAAAAATCATGATGCAAACTTTTGAGGCCCAATACAGCCACTGTGGTGAKGACTACCAGGATGTTTCTAGTTTAGAGGGCTGACCATGGAGGACAAGGAGACCCAGAAGGGTGTCAGGGTCATTTACGTTATGGGGGAGAGAAAAGCCTGAAGGTCATGTCCAGCTCTGAGGGAGGAGCCTGGGGGAGTGAAGACTGGGGGATGAGGATGACCAGAATATGACGGTGCAGTTGCCAGACCTTCCCTGCTCAGCTGAGTGGCCCTGGATGGGGGCACAGCTACACATTCTGGGACCCAGAGAACCAGATCCCTGGGACACATGAGGGAGTGGGTGCAACACAAGTGCCCCCTCCTGACTGGGTCCCAAGGCCAACCTGACATCCATCCAGGCAGAAGACTGAAGTCCATACCCTTCAGTGTCCAGTGGGTGGCCACAGGGACACAACCCTGCTGTACCACACTGAATTCTTGAGCAGAGCTCAGAGGACTTGACCCAGGCCCCGCCTTCATGCCCCCTAGAGGGCTATGTCCTAATGTTGGCAGCTCGTGCTTCTCCCCTCTGCCTTTATTCATTGTTTCAGTCACACATTTATCCAATATGGATTTATCAAGCACCAACTATGTGCCGAGTGTCAGGCTCTGGTGATACAGGGGTGGACAGGATGATGAGATCCCTACTGTCAGGGACTCCTTGCCCCCTGCACACTGACTCCCACCCTTTGACAAATGGTCACTCTGCTATCTTTGGTGGTCATCAGGGCAGGCCACTTTGAGGGAAGGGGTGTGGCAGGGCAGACTAATGGGGAGTCCAGGCTTCATTGAAGGAGAAGTCACCAGGGCCATCTTCGTTCCCAGTTCTGGCCCTATGTAGGTGGTGCAGGGGGCGGGGATGGTGGGAGGCTGGAAAATCCACCCTGGCTCCCTTCTGCCTTTATTCATTCTTTCATCACTTATTTCATTCACCCTGGAGCTCCATCTTGGAAGCCAGCTCTTCCCTGTGCACCTCCTGGGAGCTCAGCACCACGGGGCCTGGCTTCCCAGGAGAGGGCAAAAAGAGACCCTCAGGGGGGTCAACTCCTGAAACACCGGTCAGTGGGGGTGACTGTGGGGGGGTTGCCAGGTGTGGGACTTGAATAGCGCTTGTGCACATGGCCCTGTATTTGTTGATGAAGAACATTAATAAAATATGTGGTTTTAAATTGGATTTGATATGATTGTGTGGGCACTGTGGTTGGGACAGGGCTGGCAGGACTAGGCTACATGGATGCAGCCATATTAGCTGTTCAAAGATTTTAAATAAATATTAAAAATGCTTTTATCCCAGTTGGTAAATAACCAAGGCCCAGATTCCCCAGGTAACCCACCCCTGAGCCTCTGATTCTCCCCAAGGACCTCAGCTCACTCAGTCCTGCAGCTAACCCAGGTCCCTGCTCCAGTCCTCCACCAGGGCCTGCTGTGGCTAGTCAGGGCCAGCTTTGTGCTGGTGAATAGGGAAAAAATTAGCTCTGATTGACAGCAGGCCTGCAGGGCTGGGATTTGTGGACCCACAGAGACCAGAGATAGGACGTTTTACCTGAGAATTTCCCTTTTCCTCTTCCTCCCGCTCCCCTGCCTCTGTCAGAGGGCAGGCGGGGAGGAGAGTGGGGAAGGCAATCCAGATGCTCTTCCATCCCAGCTGGAGCTGGCTGCCGGGCAGATTGGCCAGGYCCTCCTTCCCTACAGCCCCTGTGACATCTGGAGACCTTATGCTACTGCCCCGGGAGCAGCTAGGAAGGTGTGGAGGTGGGCAGGGACAGGGGTTAGGCTAAACAGGTGAATGGATGGCTTTTGGGGCATCCTAAAGGCCTGCAGCCCTGCAAGGRTGGGAGTTGCAATGGCAAAGAGCTGATTCTCTTTGGGCTGTGGAAGCTTCAGCGCAGGCCCGTATGGTGATGGTCTGCATTGCCTGAACACGCACGGACAGGCGACCCGCGAGGTAGCACCCAGATGTTCCCCAGAGGGAACTGTGGCTAATTCTCAGAGCCTCCCAGGGCTGTCTGCACCCCCAGRACAGATGCCACACCTGCCTTTCCCACCATTTATCCCTCCCTCCTGGGCCCAGGGCCATGCTCTGCACCCTGTGGGACTAGAAAACAGCTGAGACAACTGTGTTCCAGGTGCACACTCACCCTGGGATTGGYTCCTGGGAGTGCTCAGAGGAGGGAGGGAACACAGTTGGGAGTGGGCTGGGGGGTTCTGTTTGTGCAGGGCCTGAAAGGCCGGACGAGATCTCAGCAGATGGAGAAGGACAAAGAGGGATTTTCCGTGTCKGGGGGAACAGGCTGGGAGCCCCAGAGCACTGGGGACCTCAGAGAGGGCCTGAAGACTGGCAGTGGGGACGCCCGCAGAAAGGGCTTATTAAGCCAGGCTAAGGGATCTKTGGCAATTTTGACAGGCAGCGCGGACCCAGCAAAGGTTTCGAATAAGGGAGGAGCAGGATCAGGGCGAGAATTCAGCAAGCGGAGCGTGGGAGGATAGAGTGGGAGAGCCTGCAGGCTGGGCACTGACGGCACCCATATGCTCTGTCTGAGTGAGATGTAACAGGAGTCTGGTGGGGGCAGGAGTGTGGCTCCTAAGAAGGGAGAGGGTGTCAGAGGCACTTCTCAGGCAGGAGGCAGGACTGGAGGAGTGCTGGGGAGAGGCCCAAGAAGCCCTGAAGGCTAAGTCAGGGGATTAGGATGACCCCCAAGGACAGGCTGTCAGGAGCACTGGGGTGGAGGGAGGATCGTGACTCTGGGGCTCAGAGCCACCCAATGCACTTGCTGCTGTTCTTGACCCACCAGTTGACAGCCAATGGCATCATTCTTAACTAAACACTTGGCCACCTCGTGTGGCTCAGGGGACATCTGCAAGCCATACTTGGCAGCATGACTCTCTATGACTCCCCCAAGCCATCTGCCTGAGCAGTAGGAATCAGGGGTCCCCTGGCCCCTCCCTCCAGGCTGGATGAGACACTCGCTGCTTGGGCCCAGGTCCTGGGGCTGGATTAGGCTAAGGATGAACTGCTTCACCCCAGGGCAACCTTAAGGAGTCTTGAACCCACATCTCTTCTGCGGAGACAAGTCAATCCTAGGTCCTAGGCACCATGTTTCCTTCCCTAGGAACATGATTATCATTGTCACTGTCCATGCATTTGGTCCCCAAAATGCCCTCGCTCCTTTTTGTAACCTGAGCTCTCCAAATGACCTCCTTGCTCATGAGAGTCCTCYTCTCTTCTGTCCCACCTCTGGGCACACTCACATGGAGGCTTGCAGGTGGCCACTCCTCCAGGGAGAAAAGGAGGGCTGGGAGGGGAGCAGAGGTGCTCCTGCTTTAGATAGGAGGCAGGGGGCTGGGGATGTGGCTCAAGCRGTAGCKCGCTCGCCTGGCATGCGTGCGGCCCGGGTTCGATCCTCAGCACCACATACCAACAAAGATGTTGTGTCCGCCGAGAACTAAAAAATAAATATTAAAAATTCTCTCTCTCTCCTCTCTCATTCTCTCTTTAAAAAAAATATAAATAAATAAATCGAAGTGATGTTTAAAAAAAAAAATAGATAGGAGGCAGGAACTTGGACCTGCCTGCCAGCCAGGCGAGCCTGCTGGTGGGGACGAAGCCCGGGATCAGCTGCTCTTGGGCCTCTGCTTCTGCCCTGGCCCCTCTCTCTCTGCACAGTGCTGGCCCCACTACTCCTCATTCCTCAGTCACGGAAGCTGACTCCAAGCCGAGCAAACCAGAAAGGCAAAGATGAACAAGACCCAGAGCCTGACCCCGGATTGAAGAAGTAGGGATTCAGTGGCCTGGCACTGCTGGGAGGACAGGTGCTACGGAAGCCTGGAGAAGAGCATCACTCAACTGTTGTGGGCTGGAAGACTTCCTGGAGGAGGCCACCTCTGTGCCAGGCAGGATGCACAGGAGCAGGGCTATGGCCCAGAGTGGAGGAAGGAGGCTGCATGGAGGCAGAGGCCCACGATTTCTGGAAATTGCATTTGTTTGGGAATGATGGGGTGTGAGGACATACCCTGCAGCCACACTTGGAGATTCTGTCCC